TAGTATTCACGATATTTTCTGGCCAACCTCACGTTGCATAAGACCTTCACATTTCGCGTACTGCATCGCCTAGGCGCTGAACGGAAATACGTGCATGTAATGCATTTAAAATATCTTTCATATTTGAATATGCGGTATTTAAACATCAATGGCAACAATGTAAATGCCGGTCGTCAAAATGTCAACAAAGCTACCTAGAATTAACGATCAGTTGATCAGTTGACTCCGGATGGCTTCAAGTGGCTTATACTTACACTAGCAGCAGTCGTGCTCATCTCTAATATAGCACTGAAACACGGGACATATATTTCAGGACATGACAATGGATACGTGAATGTTGCCGACAAAGGCGAAGGCTGTTCGGGGCTTACATGGAATGATTTGGCTGATTTTGTGTCATTGAGCCCCGAGCGCGCTGTAAACAACTGATCTGGCTGACACAGTGTTTATTATTAACAGGCCGCCGCTTTGCATCTGGAACAATGCTGGTTAAGACATAAAACAAGACTGAATTACTCCCTCATAACATATACAATGTACTGATATATTTTGAATTTCTTACCTCGAAAGTGGCCAGATACATACTTAGTCCAGACTGGAAATAGATATTATGCACTAGCTTGTGCAGTGTTCTTAACATTATGATCTTTCTGTTTGGTACTGCCCAGTGTTGTGTGTCTGTAGATCTAGTTTGAGCGCATGTTTGTATTATAATCTAATAATTACGCCTACAGGTTTGAAAAAAATATGTTAATTATCATTGTTCTACGCGTTTATGAATAGTCTGTATGATTTAGAATGTAATTACTACGAGCAACAATTAAATACAACAGCTGCGACTTTACCATGAACGTGATGGCTCCACCAATGAAATTATTTATATAAAAGAACAATGTAGACATTTAATGTAATGTGGATTTGCAAATAACACAAACAAATCAACTCAATTAAAAGCATTTTTGATGTTGTTTACAACCAATGAGCTCGGATATGATGTTGACAGAGCAGGAATAATAGCCTGGATTCGAACCCTTGACCATGAGATCCTTCCCGCTAAGAGACGCAACTCTTGATGTGTCGAGGCTAGTCACACGTGGTCCCTATGTTCAGTTAGATATGGAAAATAAATTTGCCAAAAAAACAAGCACTGACTGATAACGTTGGGATCTGTGAGTGATGCTGTGTCGTCAACTTAATGTGGGAGGAACGCCAGCTGTGACACAGGTCGTAGACGTTTGTCCATGGATTGTTTATATATCAATTGAATACAACTGCCGAAGAATCCATGCTCTGGTCCCCTGCAAAGTACACCCCGCCTATAGTCCTCGGTGCTACAATCACAAAATATTATTATAATAAATTACTTGTTTGTTTATTTGTTTGTTTGTTGTTTAACGACGCACTCAGCAATGTTCCAGCAATATGACGGCGGTCTGTAAATAATCGAGTTTGGAACAGATAATCCAGTGATTGATATCATGATTAACATCCATGCAATTGGAGTGAGTGAGTGAGTATTGTTTTACGCCGCTTTTAGCAATATTCCAGCAATATCATGGCGGGGGACACCAGAAATGGGCTTCACACATTGTACCCATGTCGGGAATCGAACCCGGGTCTTTGACGTGACGAGGGAAACCAAGTCAGCGAGCCTGACCACCCGATCCCGTTAGTCGCTTCTTACAACAAGCACAGTCGCCTCTTGCGGCAAGCATGGGGCACCTGATAATACTCAATAGTCTGGAGCGGCAGTATAGTCATTCAGTTTATTGTGATTCGCACTCTTATTTGATGCATCCCCATTCTTCTGAATTCAAATCAACCATCACTGGTTCAATGACATGCTCCCCTTATTTGGAAGCAATCCCTCGACATCAGGCACGGGTTACCAAAGTTAGATGTACATATCTAGGTAAGATAGCAACAAGATATGGATGCATATACAGAAGTGTTTGCAGATAGAGAGTGTTTCCAGGTACCAGTATCCTTTCTTCTCTGCTTTTATAAACGTACGCTGACGCTGAGCATACATTATAGTATGGTGGAATTTCCTTGTCCGTATTCTGATCTGTTGAATTAACTGGTAAAGTATGTTCTGTGACTGGAGTTGACAGTTTGACAGTCACCGAGCTTGAAACCCTCGCACCCAGGGTGCAAGGTACAATGTCAAGTCCAGACCTGAGTATTTGCACGCCACATTTATATGGCTGTCATATTGCTGGTTTTGCAATGTACTTGATATTTTAACCAACGAATTGAGACACGGTCTGGTTCCTGCAACCAGCTCGTGCTCCGATCATTGAGCACTCAGTTTACATCTCTCCATGCAAGCGGTAATGTTCCTGGCTTGACAACATCGTGTGGCATCCTCACTAAACACAGCTTCAGGCAGTTATAGCTTCCGCAAAAGGTATGAGAATAGCACCATACGTTTAAGAATAAAGAAATATACACTTATACCATACCATATTATCAAATTCCTTGGTTTGTATATAAACTTTCTGATAAAATGATATGCTGGTGTCAGGAATTCAAGATTATCTAAGAAAATGTTCACCTATAGTTTATGAATACTGTTCTAAGTCGAAACTCTAAGTAAATGTAGATAACGTTCGCCAAAAAGGACGTACACTCTTATGTGAAATAATGTTCTCCAGCTTATAAAAGAATACCTTTATCTTGGTGTCACAACACGGAGTAATAACACAAACCAAATATGGATTAAGAATATATTTATTAAATAAAATTAAGAATCATGTTGGCAATGATGTATCCAACGCACTCACACCCATTCGGCTACCTTCCACTATCACCCTTCACACACTTCACACTCTTCCCATCCTTCACACACACTTCACATACTTCACACCCTTCACACACACCCTCTAACATACACTTTCCCAATAGTTAAGGTTAACCCTACTTACACATACTCTAATTTTGCACTAATAATCTATCTCTAAATCTCTACTAATACATCAATTTATCATCGCAACAATGACAGAACATCAAAACATCAATACATCAATATCAGAACACATTAATACATCTCAACATCAACACCTCAATACATTAACATCTTTAGGCATTAATTCTTCCAACGCTTGAATACATGCATGTCAACAATTATCTCTCATTATGTACACAATATGTACAAAGTCATTCGCCACGCCTCCTTCCACGTCATTGCATTATGCACTGTACATTGTTTTGAGCCTCACACAGGTCTCCTTCTAATCAGATGTAAACATTCCATGTACTTCATGGCCATCTGTCGCCCTGGGGTCAGGCTTCATATAATGAATGTCCCTGCCTCCTCATCCTCCGTACAGGTGCCCCTCTGGGTCCCCGGACACTAAACAACAAACGTCCATACGTAAGTTTAATTACAAGTGACCATTCACCTTACATAGAGTATTAAATACTCAGAATGGTACACACATAGTTATTCACCATACAAATGAACATGGGAGCATGCTCAGTATAACTATACACGGTTATTCAACATACATCAAGCCTGTACAATACTCAGAATAACTAATAAAGTATAGAGTTATTCAACATACATTGCGCAAGTACAACTTAGAGTAACCAATGTCAATATCAAAAGTAAATATACATGATGATATTACTATGGTGGTTGTTTTCAACACAACGACGACTGCCAAATCAAAACTGTGTGAGATCTCAAAATATGTATTGACGTAATTCATGATGAAAAGACATGTTCCTACATCTGTTAACTTTTATATCATTACATATATATATATATTATATACTCGTCTTTTCATCATGAATTACGTCAATACATATTTTAACTATACAGATAATACATACATTATCAAGCTACAAGAATATAAGCATAAACAATATTCAAATATAACTAAAATAAAATTAAAATAAAACTTACGCCACAAGATTGGGACAACACACCAAAACCAAAACCGTCTAACCAAGGTTAGAATTCTCGTTAACTGCCCTGAATTTCAGTTTACAGTCTTTTTAAATACCCACCCAATCACACCGCTCATACAACAAAAGATGTTCACGACTGACCCAAGCAATCTTACATAACACCTCTAAAGCTCACAGCTTACATACAGTCCAACCACTCTCTAACACATACAATCAAACCAACTTCAGAGAAATATATACATTTTGATCTTGACACTTGGTATCTTGTTTACAAACACCGGAAGACTTTGTGAACCCCAGAAAAGACAGGTCAGTCAACGAATGGCAACTGATAATAACCCGAGCACAAATGGTCCAGAGGAAACACCTCGACCTACAATGGTTAAGAACAAACTGCAACTCAAACAACAATGGCCAAGATAAAATAATATACCAAGCTACAATGCCTTAGTACAAATCATAGCTCTAGCAACAAAGGTTTAGAACAACTAGTACCTCGAGCAGCTTAATGAGACATTCTGGGGTGATGGAGTGTGTGAGTTGGGTTCAAATTTTAGTTTCATCACGTCATGTCAGTTTAAAGTGGGAGGAAAGCCCAAAGTGATGCAGGTCTCAGACGTTTACTACATTGTTGAAACCCATGACCAGAGGCAAGGTGCTGACGAACCAACAAACAAGATCGGTGTGAACCGGGATTCGAAACCACGTTTCTGTTGTTCCCACGCGACGCAACTCTGCACAGTGAATTCAGGCATTAGATGATTGTACCACCTAAGCCCCCGTGTTATTCTGGTAATGGTAGTAACCTTGAAATATGTTAAGTATATATAAGCGAAATACAGCATTATCAAATTCATAAAAAATCTCTCCCAAAAGCAGAGTCCATTGTTCGATTCCGACTATATCCGGTGCATTTGAATGTATCGAATTGTGATAATACCAGGTGTTTGTGAAAGATTCCAAAATATTTTTCAATTCAACCTTCCATGGATGGTCATTTGTTTTGGAGGAGTGTTTTGACAGAGATCTGTACCCATTGGCCCTTCCCACAATGACTTAGCAGTCTCACTGGCAAACCCTCGAAGTGAGGTCAGGTCAACGTGACAGTCAGCGTGAAGGCTTCTCTATTTTCATTGTGATTAGAGTGTACCTGCCTGACACTGTCCGTACATATATATGACCAAAGGTTACCTTCAACAGTACATTGACGACCGTGTTCTGAGATGGCCAGCAGGGCTGAGGAAGCCATGAAATGTGGCTTTGACATGCCGCTTGTTACGTATGAGGAACGGATCACCACGACACTAAGCCTCCCTCATCTTCTCACCATGAAGACTCGTCGCTTACGTGAGGACGATATATTCATAACCTCCTACCCTAAAACAGGTACTTACATTGAATGTTCATTGTTACAGTTCTTCGAACTGGATTCACTGTCCCTGTCGTGTCTGTTCAATGTGTATCAGGTATATCCTATGTATTGGTTCACTAGTTTCGCACTGTACACATACAACGTGTTCACATGCCCTGTAGTGTCTGTTCAATGTGTGTGAGGTATATCCTATGTATTAGTTCACTAGGTACAGACTGTACACATACAACGTGTTCACTGTCCCTGTCGTGTCTGTTCAATGTGTGTGAGGTATATCCTATGTATTGGTTCACTAGGTACACACTGGGTGTGGGAGATTGTCAACATGATTGTGGCAGGAAATGCTGAGTATGCTAAACACTGGCAGAACCATGCATTCCTTGAATACAGGAGTGAGGCACAGCTGGACGAGATTCCATCTCCTAGAGTCTTCTTTACGCATCTCCTACCTAGGTAAGGAATATCGACAGTCAGCAAACGTTTGTTTCGTGTGTTAACACCAACACAACACAACACAACACAACACAACCACATAGTAGCCAGGAAGTTAGCCTCAGCAACATTACAATGGACCTCGGTGACTCGGTTGATAGTATGTCATGGAGTAAATCGTTACTCATAACATCCATCACAGATCTCGCGTCCAGAGTTTAACATACAGAATTATATCAACTCTGTGTGAACCTTTGTTGAGAGTTTTCTTGATTTGATACTGGAGAGAAAAAAGCCCTAAAGCCACCCACACGCACTTGATTGCACCTGATTAATATACTGCTAATATTACATTGAATCTTCACTCACTTCATTCTAACACCAGACAGATGCCGGAGGAGGTGTGGCAGCGGAAATGTCACGTCATCCACATAGACCGTAACCCAAAAGACGCCATTGTGTCTTTTTATGTACAGCAGACAAACCAAAACTGGATCAACAAGTCTAAACCTGCAGCGTTCACGGGCACGTGGGATCAATATGTCAATGCCAACATCTTGGGAACTGGTGAGTCTAATCTGGTCCAGGTAGGAATGTTTGATTCGGGGCTGATTCCGGATTAGAACTGGTGCCTGTAACTTCAGCTTGTGGCAAGAGACGACTTAGTGGATCAGGTGGTCAGGCTTGATGACTTCGGTAATAGTGTGTCATCTTACTGATTTGTGAGACTTGACTGTTTATAGGCTGCTGTCATATACTTGTAGTATTGTTGAGATCGGCGGAACGCGGCAAACAAACACAAAATACACTTAATGGTCGACACATCAATAACCTTCGAGAATTCACTAACAGAGGGCACAAGTATAACTTAAAGCAATTGTCATTCACCAATAAAATAAGCAATATATGTATTATGTAACTAACAACATCCTCACATCCCCTGTGTTAATATCTGGATTAATGGGGTCATTGAAAACTGATTTGTTTCCATTTTTAGGATAAGATAGGAATAACGTCAATAATCTTCACAACAGCTGTTTTCTAATCACTTGTCTCCTTTCCTAAAATAAAACATTTCGCTTTTTATTTTACCAATAGACATATCTACCATTCATCCAAATATATTGTAAAGCTTCAAGAATGTTTTAACGGTATTGTTCAAGTGTGTGATACCTGTGCTCAAATGACCATGTACAAGTGGATGATGATCTACAACCTCGATATTTCCAGTCACATTTGACTCCATTCTGGGTCATGTCTTGGCATGGAGCAGGATCCCGGAACTGCACCCGGCTGTGCCCTACTGTCATGTTCAGTTTGAGGATCTGAAACAGGTCAGATGTTTTTTCTGTATGTTTTCTTTTTTTTCTTCATCTTTGCACCTATTCTATCCTGATCAAATATTTGCAGATTACACAAAGTGTGTTTAATGTAATGCTGAAACCTCATTTGTATCGGATAGTATGACTTTACTTTCTGGTAAAAGATGTTTAATATCGAGTTTCCCATGTAAATCTGTGAGTAGTGGCTATATTACCGTATTGTATTATATATTACATTTTAAGACGTTAGATATTCTAGTCACAGTATGACCGTAATACTGACGACGTGACCATACATTTGAACTATGGTTCATCACTTATCGTCATGACGTATATGGGTTTCGTGGATACGACCTCGTATAATCTTCGACTGACACAATAATACAATGTATGCCATTGTCTACCTGGAATGTATCTGATTTGACACGCACTACAACCCAGTGGACATTCATGGTTAGAATAGGTCTCCAGCACCCTAGAAGGCCCTATGGACCGGGTGGTCCGGCTGTGTCATTGTACCCTGGCGCCGCAGGACGTCACGCATAATATCAATCACTGGTTTGTCTAGTCCAGTGTATTATTTAAAGGCCGCCGTCATATCGCTGAAATATTTGTGAAGGCGGGTAAAACAGCAATAAAGAAAAACAATGATATACCCTAGTTTTACGATGTCAAGACTGTAAAATTGAAATAGATAGAATTTGTAGATGCCATCTTCTTTATAATGAGGAACAAAACGTTTCGGGGTATATGTTTACTCCTTCATCGGGTGAATGAATGCTAGGATGCAGAGAGTATATATATTTACATATGTACATGTAAAAACAACAAAGGTAATAAGATAGCAAAGGTGGAAACATTAACAAGCGCTGATTGGTGATAAGCAATGGACAAATAAAGGCCGGGAGTTAAATTAGAACTGATGGCAATAAGCAATCGACAAATAGAAGTTTGTCGAAATTTTTCCATTGCTAATTAACCCCCTGCCTTCTTTTTGTGTTCTTTTGACATCCAGAACTTCGTATGTGCATCACTTCTAAACGCCATTTTAAGACCTGTAAATTTGTAGAAACACATGTGTACAGATATCTAGAAAAGATATATGTAGTTTATTATTCTACACAGGACGATGTGGCTGAGGTAAGAAAGCTGTCGCAGTTCCTGGGACGGCCGCTTGCGGACAAGGTTTATGTAGAGATAGCAGAGGCCTGCAGGTTTGACAAACTGAAACATGCATCTGAAAACTTGAAGGATCAAACCTTCCACAACAGGTGGAACAAGGGATCGACTGGATACTTCAGGAAAGGTACTGTTCACATGTGACGGTTAACTCCTAATAATTGATACAGTTCGAATAATATTCAGTGAGCTGTTTTATGCCGTAATCGTTTTCCAGCTGTGTTTGGACAAATATAAATATGGGCTAGACAAAGTGAGCATGATAAAATTTGTATTAGTGGCCCAAAACATAAAAAAACGGCGAAAACACTTGGTGGTCACTAACAGATTTTCTGAACGTTTTCTTGTATATTTTCTTTAAGTGTTTTAATTTCACTTTTCTTTTACAATGTTCACTTACTAGTTCTCGTATTTTAAACATTTCTAGAACTTTAGCCTATTTTCAAGGATCTCTTTTCACTATGTGTATGGTGTCCTTCTGTATATCCAGGAGAGACTGGTGACTGGAAGAACTGGTTCACAGTGGCGCAGAGTGATTCTTTTGACAAAGCGTATGAAGAAACATTTAAACAGAAATTTCCATACTGAACATGTGTTAATTTGACCTCCACATTACGAAGAAGTAATACAGTTTTTCTGAAAAAGACGTTTTTGTTTGTGGTCACGTGAACGTGAAGAGTCAATTTAGCCAGAGACTGTGTTGGTGTTTTACAACCATTACTATGAGAGGTTATCTCCGATATAATGCCACGATTGTAGAGTTGCGAACCTTAATAGCACAATGCCAAAATTGTAGAGTTGCGTACCTTCATAACACCATGCCGAGATTGTAGAGGTGCGTACCTTAGTAATACCATTCAAAGATTGTAGAGCTGCGTACCTCAGTAACACCATTCTAAGATTGTAGAGTTAAGTGCCTTAGTAACACCATACCAAGATTGTAGAGTTAAGTGCCTTAGTAACACCATACCAAGATTGTAGAGTTTAGTGCCTTAGTAACACCATACCAAGATTGTAGAGTTAAGTGCCTTAGTAACACCATACCAAGATTGTAGAGCTGCGTACCTTAGTAACACCATACCAAGATTGTAGAGTTAAGTGCCTTAGTAACACCATTCTAAGATTGTAGAGCTGCGTACCTTAGTAACACCATTCTAAGATTGTAGAGCTGCGTACCTCAGTAACACCATGCCAAGATTGTAGAGTTAAGTGCCTTTGTAACACCATACCAAGATTGTAGAGTTAAGTGCCTTAGTAACACCATACCAAGATTGTAGAGTTAAGTGCCTTAGTAACACCATACCAAGATTGTAGAGGTGCGTACCTTAGTAACACCATGCCAAGATTGTAGAGTTAAGTGCCTAAGTAACACCATGCCAAGATTGTAGAGTTAAGTACCTTAGTAACACCATGCCAAGATTGTAGAGTTAAGTGCCTAAGTAACACCATACCAAGATTGTAGAGTTAAGTGCCTTAGTAACACCATACCAAGATTGTAGAGTTAAGTACCTTAGTAACACCATACCAAGATTGTAGAGTTAAGTGCCTAAGTAACACCATACCAAGATTGTAGAGTTAAGTGCCTTAGTAACACCATACCAAGATTGTAGAGGTGCGTACCTTAGTAACACCATGCCAAGATTGTAGAGTTAAGTGCCTAAGTAACACCATACCAAGATTGTAGAGTTAAGTGCCTTAGTAACACCATACCAAGATTGTAGAGGTGCGTACCTTAGTAACACCATGCCAAGATTGTAGAGTTAAGTGCCTTAGTAACACCATACCAAGATTGTAGAGTTAAGTGCCTTAGTAACACCATGCCAAGATTGTAGAGTTAAGTGCCTTAGTAACACCATGCCAAGATTGTAGAGTTAAGTACCTTAGTAACACCATGCCAAGATTGTAGAGTTAAGTACCTTAGTAACACCATACCAAGATTGTAGAGTTAAGTGCCTTAGTAACACCATGCCAAGATTGTAGAGTTAAGTACCTTAGTAACACCATTCCAAGATTGTAGAGCTGCGTACCACACTAACACCATTCCAAGATTGTAGAACTGCGTACTTTAGTAACACCATTCCAAGATTGTAGAGCTGCGTACCACACTAACACCATGCCAAGATTGTAGAGTTAAGTACCTTAGTAACACCATGCCAAGATTGTAGAGTTAAGTACCTTAGTAACACCATACCAAGATTGTAGAGTTAAGTGCCTTAGTAACACCATGCCAAGATTGTAGAGTTAAGTACCTTAGTAACACCATTCCAAGATTGTAGAGCTGCGTACCACACTAACACCATTCCAAGATTGTAGAACTGCGTACTTTAGTAACACCATTCCAAGATTGTAGAGCTGCGTACCACACTAACACCATACCAAGATTGTAGAGTTAAGTGCCTTAGTAACACCATGCCAAGATTGTAGAGTTAAGTACCTTAGTAACACCATTCCAAGATTGTAGAGTTAAGTACCTTAGTAACACCATGCCAAGATTGTAGAGTTAAGTACCTTAGTAACACCATACCAAGATTGTAGAGTTAAGTACCTTAGTAACACCATACCAAGATTGTAGAGTTAAGTGCCTTAGTAACACCATGCCAAGATTGTAGAGTTAAGTACCTTAGTAACACCATTCCAAGATTGTAGAGCTGCGTACCACACTAACACCATTCCAAGATTGTAGAACTGCGTACTTTAGTAACACCATTCCAAGATTGTAGAGCTGCGTACCACACTAACACCATTCCAAGATTGTAGAGCTGCGTACCTCACTCACTTGAATCTCTTCATACAGTCATTTTCATGCAAATCTCTCAGGATTTTACGAAGCATCATTCACTGGAGAGGTCGCACATTTCCACTGCTGCTTTATTGAACTATATTGCCTCTGACTCAGTTTTAACATTTAAATACCCAACGCTGGCGCAAATTCCATTTTTTGCTAAATGTGCATATTTTAAAATGCTGTACGTACATAAGCAATGTGAATAATCCTACACCTTGATGCACCTTAATGCACCTTGATCTGCAAGTTCATCTTTTGCCTTAAATACTTACAAGTTGAAGAACACACAAACCCATCCGGTACTTTTCAACCTACAAGGTGAAATAATGTGTCCATTAAAAGCGGGACATGTTATAGAAGAGGCGATGCCCATTGTGACACTTCCGTCAACAAGCTAATCTAAATGTAAAGAGAGAAAGGGATTGAGGATTGTAGCACCTTCAAGGAAGAGAAAGGAAAGAGATCGACTGGTTCAATCGCGTTTGCCAAGGATGTCATTTTGGAATACAACTGTGCCCCGTTTCTATGTGTTTATTACTAGCATTTCTCTCGTTCTCACATTTTATCTTTCTTTGATTGCAGTAATAAAGAAAACAATGAACAAACATCACGTTTCATGTTATGACACAAATATAAAGAAAGAGTCAGAGAATGTGTTAAAGAATGAATTTGCATTGGTATCTTTCCCGATGAATACTGAAAAAAATATAAATTAATCGTCGAAGTTCAGTAAAACAGATTGGAAGCTATCTTAGTTTCGTGGTAAAGCAAACTAAATCAAAACAGACATATTTATACAACTGTACTGTACAGCAAAGTTGTTACAAGTTATCAATTGTAGCCATATATACCATCTTGAATAACATAATACAAAAGAGCCTTTTGGGTCAACAAGTTTATAAATTGACATGAACTTGACAACTTTCATCTTCCAGAGGCAAGAGCGTCCACTTGCCTATATCAAAGCCTAGGTTCTACCCTTGCCATTTCAAGCCTACCTTTCTTTCTTGTGTCCCTTATGATGAAAACGCGATATCAAATCAGATCACTGTTCTTCTTTGGAATAGCGTCAAAAAGATGACCACCATACCAGACGACCTGGTCGATTAGATAACGAAAAGATTTGAGATATCACCCTGGCAACAGGACATATTGCCACAGCAAATGTACTTATTACTGCCGCATATCGCTCTTACAATGACAGAGGCATACAGGTTATTGAGATTATACAGTACTATGTAACCTGCACATCGCGGCAACATTAAACGCTCAGCGAGGGGTCGCCTAAAAACAGCACTGCATCTAAGTCATTGGGGTAGGCGTTAGACAATGACGTTTGCTCTCAAATATGTAAAAGGTGTATGAAAACTTTGAACCACTTTGAAAATATTTATCTAAGCTTAATTCTTGGAATAAATTCAGCGCACATTCGACAGGCAAAAGCTGTGGCCAAAGGGTCCACATGTGATCATTTTGTAAAACGTTCTCAAAATGTGCGATAGAAAAGTAGGCTTGAAACGGAAAGGGTGGAAACTAGACTTTGATCTAGGCTAGTGAACACGCTTGCCTCGGAAAGATATTCAACACTGCACAAACATGTAATCCCTGAAAAACCGAAGGTTCTTGAATATTCTTTAACCATAAAATACCAACCAAAGACCAGTAAATTTTGAACTAAATATATCGTAAATCAAATTGAGAAAGTTTGAGTCCCAAATTGTTGTCTTTAGTGAGTAGATTGTGACACCAATTCTGCAATTGAACTTTAGTACGTTAATATTTTTTTTGTGTTAAATTAGTCATGACTAATCCCATTGTTCGTAATGAATGTGGTAAATATCACATATATGTTTGCGTACAAACGATGTATGAAGAACTGGTTAGGTATGCCAGTTACTCGTTTTCCGAAGTTATATTTATCGTAATAAGATGCAAGACTAGAAGAGTGAATTGGGTTTCTATATTGAAGTCGTGACTTTATATAATTTGGATTTGGATAATGTCTGTTAATAATCCCGAAATCATACGAAATTTGGTAATGTGTTTTGCAAACAGTGTAAGATCACACAGACAACTGGTTGCAAATGCTGTAACTATGTAACATGGGCCGATGGTCTAACAATAAACATGTGACAAGGATGTTTTGGTTAAGATTAACGACACACAAGAAACATCCAATTATGTAAATTGAATGGTTACTTTTATTACCTGAACATGGTTTGAGGAGCGAAATATACACATTGTAAGTCCATATAATACTTTTAAACGTGTCTCTTACCTTTTGCTTCAACCAATATTCTTGATAACATATACATACATAACATTAGGACCCACATCACAGTTAGCGATAACATCAAAACAAAAGCAAAGTATATATATCCATATGTATCCATAAGTATTCCACACAGGTATGTTATAATTAATGTTCCAATTCGGTCGCCAAAACAGCATAAGCACATGATAAAGGGAGAGAACTCCACAACCTGCCGGCCCCATCCTGCTATACAATTAAAGTAATATCCTGACATTAAGCCAAACGCTATGGAGGTGATCCATAATCCAATCCTTGAGTTTACTGCCCACAAATAGAGCGACACAAGCGTCACACTGAGGCCAGTCAGTCCTGCAAATATTATCTTCACTTGACTCACCCATTTTGAAAGACAAAGCATTGCGATTTTCCCACATAACATGGACAGCCAAAATGTCCCAGTCATTTCAGACAGAGTCTGAACACTGAGGTTCAGATCTGTTCCCAATCCAAACGTGACGAGATATTGCCCGTAGGTCAGTGCAATGCTATATGCAGGGCCGGTGAACATCACCAGCATGATGACGAATGTGCAAGAATACAGAGTGTAGGCTCTAGGAGTTTCTGGTATAGGCTCATGGGGAGTATCTTGCAGTGAGTCTGGTTCCTTGGGGAAAATATGCAAATAGACAAATATTCCACATGGAATTATATTCAAAGAACCTAGCAGTGCATAAGGGATTAATAGCCTTCCATTATAGCTATTTCTTGTAACATTGTACTGAGA